GGTTACATTCTGATCAGGGTAGAAACTTTGAGTCTGAAGTGATATCCGAATTGTGTAAGTTATGTGGAATTACCAAGTCACATACGACCCCCTATCACCCTCAGGGTAACCCCCAGTGTGAGCGTTTTAATCGCACTTTGCTAGACATGTTAGGTACTTTGACTGATGATGGTAAGGCCGATTGGAAATCTCACGTAGCCCCTTAGTACACGCGTATAATGCCACTACCAACAGTTCTACAGGATTCTCTCCATATTTTCTTATGTTTGGTCGTCATCCGAGACTCCCTATTGATATTATTTTGGGTCTGGATAAGCAAAATAATGGTTCATCTACCACATTAACTAAGTACGCAAGCGATATGCAAAACCGCTTAGAAGATGCTTATAAGCAAGCGGCAGCGCAAGCGATCAAATCGACCAGCGCGAACAAAGAGGCGTATGACAGAAAAGCGCGCGATTCTGCTCTTCAAATTAATGATAGAGTTTTAGTTAGGTCATTGGGTTTTAAGGGTGCCCATAAACTTTCTGATAGGTGGGGTAAAACAACATATAAAGTAGTTAAGCGTGTAAGTCCTGATATCCCTGTATATGTTGTACGACCTGATGTTATAAAAGGCCCTGAGCGAACTCTTCACAGAAATCACCTGTTACCTATTCCGTCTCTTTCCCTTGATGATAATCAGCCACCCCAACCACATGCTACCCGAGTACATGACTCTAACGAATCGAGTACCAGTGGGCTCAGCGATCGGCCAAAACCAGCTCCTCGACCTGTTTCCTCGCCCCGCACCCCAGTCCCTGCACCTCGCCGCCACCCAGTCCCTGCCCCACGACAACCTTCCCCAGCCCCTCCTGTGCCAGTTCCTGATTCTTCTACTTCAGACCCGAGTGATATTCCTCCCGTACCACGCCCTAGAAGAACAACCAAACCCCCTGTAAGATTTTCATATGCTATGTCTGAAAGTAGTTCGAATTCTTGTAATGATGCTAATTTGTTATTTAAACTCTTAGAAGATGCGTCTAGAGAAGCAGAACGGAATGCATCTCTTAGACGAATGATTTTGCAAACGTTTGCTTAAATTGCTATTGTTTTGATGTTTCTAAAGGATTTTTAGAATTTTTATCTATTTTTGTTACACATTGTAATTTTGTTTGACTTTATATTTATATTGCTCTCGTTTAAGAAAGTTGTGTTACTTGATTGTTTCAATCGACGAATGTTGTTTGTAATTTAACAATAAGTTTTCTGTTATATATGATGTTTTTTTACTTGATGATATTTTCCTTTAAGTTTGTTGTTCCCCATTTTGAATTGTTTTTATGCTTTGTCTTAACGGAAAATTTGAGGACTGAATTAGCCCTCCTATTTCCCTTAAGTGTAATGTCGGGACGACATTTGCTAAAGCAGGGGAGGATGTTAGGGTGTATTTTTGTATATTTTTTTAGTTAATCTTAAGTACCTTTAAATTTATTCTATATTATTTATTTATATTAATCCAGTATCCCTTATCCAAAGAGGCTATACAATGGAATACTGTTTCAGCCTGTAGGTTAATGACCCATTGAACATTCTTCCTATAGTCAAATAGATACCACCAGCTTACCCTCTCCCGAGAGTTGGGTGGTATACTGTCGACATACCTGAGGAAGTAAAGGAAACGTCTTGTCAACATCAAATGATGTATGACCGGACACAGGAAATCGGGAATGGACAGTGACTTTGGGTGTTGATGAGACGCAGCAATTGATAATAACAGTGATTTATTATAATACTATTGAAGAACGTGGATGAGTTATCGGCAAGTTAATTTCAAAGTGGCTGAGGCGTCAGCATTTGCTGTGTACAGTACCATCAGCAGATTAGCTAATTGTGTTTAAAACTTTTCTGAGCCAAGTTTTCAATTTCAATTGCCATTATACTCATGCAATTATTGAACTAGAGCATGACAAATTGTTTGTAATTTGTATATCATATACTTGATAATAAGCCAACGTAGAAAAATCGTTCGTACTCACACAAACATTCCCGCTCCAGACCCTATCCCAACGTGTTAATAGGCGTAGGCCTGGCCTAACATCCATCCGTATGCGCACCTCCCTTGCGCATGCTTTAATAATAGCCCACTCGAGCATTATGCTTAAAATGGTATTAAACAATTGCAAAAATACTGTGTTGGATTCCTAGATGGCCGGAAATGAGCTTTCCTACTTCTGAGAAGTTTTTAATGACCTTTGAGTTCTTCAAAATTCAAGGTTTTCTCCTCTTGAAAAAGATCAGGTAATTTTATCTCATTCTTTATGCCATTATATAGAGAGAAAAAAAAATCAAAGACATAAGCAATATATTATTATATTCCAACAATATTGCGTAGAACGCACTCTGTCTCTTATACACATCTAGATGTGTATAAGAGACAGATACATAATAGTATACATACACAAACGTATATAAAATCAGAGTTGCTGCACGCCCAAATTGTATCATAAAAATTCATCTCGAAAAATTCATCTAGAAAATAAAGACGAGATCTCCGGGCGCAACCCCTTTCAAGTCAGTGACTTAAAACGGGAAAAATATCGTCCCCACTCCACCAACAAAACCAATTCTGGAATTGCTACTATACGACTTTTTTTCAACTATACAATTCAAAATAATGTTTAATATTTTCAAAATTTGAACCATGCTGGTACAATAAAATATTTACATACTGACACCGCTATCATAATAATTAAAGAGCGTCAGTCTGAATGTGAGTATATCTCGAAAAAGCCCATATTATTTTGATTAGAAGCTCATGGGCTTTTTCGAGATGAATTTTGCAAACTGAAGAGTTGGCTTCTTTTCAAGATGGGCCCTCGAGATTAATCCCATGATGCTTCTATTCGAGGTATACTTTGTTTTTGTAAGTACCAGTAAAATTTTGCCCAGGCTTAGTGTTCTTTATTTTGTTGCCAATTTCAGGCTAAAAATGTTCTTATTTTGTCCCTATTTTACACACTTTTGAAATATAATAAAATTTTAATGTACAGCAGTATACAGTATATTACTATAATGTCTTATAGAGGGTATTACATAGTCACACCTATACTGCGCATATGGTACAGATAAGACCATAAACAAATTGTTCGTATATTTATTTTTTTAAATAAAACCCCTTTTGAAATTTTACCTCAGCCTCAATTTCGTCTGCTGTTGTATTTGGTTTTCATTTCCTAAGCAATGTTTCAGCCTCAGTGTTCTTATGTGTTACAGCAATACACATGTAAAGTGAAAACAGTCTAGTGTTGAGTGTTTTCCCCGCTATACCATGAATCCCATGGTGTCTATATTTTTATCATTTTATGTATTTAAGATACTTATTACTGTACAAAAGTCATACAAAAAAATGCAGCACCACACATTTCCTTTCATTTGGTCTGAACAGCCATCAACAAACGCACTAGAATTAATCATATGAAGTCGACATACTCAAAATCTAGGGATTGTTAATGATGATGACGACGACGATGATGATGACGATAATAATAATGACGATGATGACAATGACGACAACGATCGATGCTGATCAAATCAAATCAAATACTTGTATTTTCATACAATTGAAATAATAAAAAGATGCAGTATGAAATACGCAGTAATTGAAACAAATAGATTGTATGGAAGGAGGCTACGATAATGTCTGCAAGAAAAACTCACAGAGCTTAAGAGCGTAACCACATTTGAGAAAGAAGTTGAAAAAAAAATGACCGCTACCATTTACTTATATTTCAACTAAATTATAGAGCCTATAGATCACAGAAAAAAGTGATGATGATGCTAGATTCTAAGGAATCTAAAATATAAAAACAAATATAAACCTAATTCTATGTTTTCTATGCCAAAATTATATATGTTGTTTATTTTAAAGGGCTTCACCTTTTTTATTTTTAAATTTCATTATTAGATTCATATAGTCCGTCTGACGTTATGATTAATAATAATGTTCTTTTTTTCCTTTCTTAGAAATGGATAGATTTCAAGACCTTCAAAATTATTCATTCCACGCCACGTGGGATTTGGGTAGAAATTTGATTAAACCATTTGATATATTAGTAAGACAAATAGATGAGCACATTCGAGATGAAACACATGAAACATTTGTAGAGGAAGGATTACTATTTAAAAGTTACCTCTACATGTCAGGGATTGGTGGAACAGGTAATAAAAACATGAAAACTGCAAAAGACTGCCTTAAAGATGTGAGCACCCGTTTGGAATCATGGGAAGAGTCTCCGAAGAAGGACGGTTTTTATTCAGTCATGTATGCCCTCGAAGCATGGGTCGATATGGATAAAACTGTAGATAGACTTAATAATTTGAAAAAACTGCATCTTGAGCACTTGCAAGCAACTAAAGCGAGTTTTGAAGCATGTAATCATTATATTAAGGGCTTTGCTTTATCAAGGTTAGGTATTAATCGCTATGATGAGTGCATTGATGAATTCCGTCAAGCGACTGAAAAATGTCCAGACGATGTTGAATATTTATTTTCTTTGGCATTCATGACACGCAGAATTAGTGGGCCCGAGGTTGGCGTGGAATGTAAAAAAATGTTACTTAAGGTACTGGTGAAAAAAGAGGATTACCTGTTTGCTAAAGTAGAATTAGCTTATTTAGCTTACTTGGAAGGAAATGCAGATAGCGCTACTAACCTTTTAGAAGAAGTCACAACGTCAGTGGCAAATGAGCAATCTATTACACCCGAAAATATGAAGATCGTAGGACACGTTATGAAAATTTACCTAAAATTGAATAAACCTGAAAAGGCAAAACAAACGTACTTAATGGCAGAGGAAAACGGTAAAGTGAATTCATTTGTTGCTCACCAGAGAGCGAGAGTGGCAAGTACTCAGAAAGATTGGAAAAACTTCGGGAAATTTCTTAATGATGCTGTGAAAATTAATAATTTCAATCTATCCGCAACGATGCAATTAGCTAAGCATAGATTAATCACTAGTAAAGCTGATAATGCAGGCGTAATGAAAATATTTGATAAGATGTTAACTGATCGTTCACGCGACGAACTAGCAGTAATACAAATTCTAACTTCATATGGCGACATGTTGAAAAAACGTCAAGAATCCTGTCTCTTATACACATCTAGATGTGTATAAGAGAAAGATATAATATGTATATTTGGTAAATATATATAAAATCGATAATACACAAATATCATGTTGTATAAACAGACTATGACACATTGTTCCAAATAGAAAATGCAATAAATACGAATACAAAAAACAATAGTAAGTGACTTAGAATATAAATTTATTAGCAACCAATATTTTTGTTGGACAGTAAATAGGCTATAAACTTTATAAACGCAATTCGCGTTTTTGTTAAGCGTTGAATTCAACTGCATTCTAGGTTAAATGCAAAATTAAGCATGAACACCAAATACATCCTATAGTTCGAGTTTGAACGTCGGATCAGTCCTGAAATGGGTTTTCATTGATTTTTTTGCTTCATAATTTATTATTATTATTATTATTATTATTATTATTATTATTATTATTATTATTATTATTATTATTATTATTATTATTATTATTATTTATATTATTTTAGCATGTTAAATTTGTTTCTCTTTTGCAATAAAAATCACTTACACAAACACACCTACAGAGATGGAAATAGTCTAGTTTTAGCAAACAGAGTGAAAAGCAATTTTTTTGGATTTTCCCGCAGCACGACATAAACCCTTTCTGTGACGGACTTATTGGTCTTTTGCAAGATGTTACCACGTAAACGTAAAATACAAATTAAATCGTAAACAGAAAAAGAATCTGACAAAGAAAGAAAGAAAAAAGAAAAACTCAGCCCCCACCGGGAATCGCGACTATCATTATTATAATTATAATGATGTTAGATAAAATGTAATTTACAGACAGTACGGTACGTGATTTTATTTTATATTTTTACAGATACAGCCATGCACTAATCCACAAGCTAACAATTGGATCATGGCTTTTAAGAAATTCAACAACACTGATAAGCAGCAAAAGGAAAACAAGCAGTATGGAGAATACAAAGTATATCCAGAAGACCCAAGCGCAAACCCAAACGAATATCAAGAAAAACAATATTCCTCTATCGATCTTGCAAGAACAGTTTGCGACAACATTGCTTACATTTTAGACAACTTGAACGGATTTTCATTGGTATTTTGAGTATGATGTTCGCAACTAAACTGACAGCCAAACAGAGACTGTGCATTAGTGGTAGCTATGGGTAGAGTGTTATGATCACCTGACAGCAAGAAACTCAAACAGTTGAACAAAAGGCGGCTGAGCTCTATGAGGTCAACGGCCAACCATAGTTTAGTTTAAGTAGTAGAAGGACTATATCATCCCACCCATCATCCTGCTATTTAGAAAATAAAATAATAAGAACTTCGATGTTGTCAAATGATTAGAAAATTGTTTAATTTGATTTAAAAAAAAGTTAATTGTGGTTTAGGCCCGGCCCCGAACTTAAAATTATTATTATTATTATTATTATTATTATTATTATTATTATTATTATTATTATTATTATTATTATTATTATTATTATTATTATTATTATTATTAAATAATCAATAATAATAAAGAATAATATTGAATGAATAGAATAATCTCAACTTCTGGAAAACAGTGTCTGATACCACTCTATAATCGTATAGTACAACTAGTACAATAATTAAAACAAATATTGAGATTAGTTTCAATCGATATTTGACTACTGAAGTTTATCATTTGTATATACAATAACTAATATATTGGTAAGAGTGACATATAAAAGCTGTATAGTTGGTGTATACTTATTTTTGTGTAATACCTCCTGGGATAAATACAAGCATTAGTAGAGGTGACGAAAATGATACTGATATGTAGGTCTAGGTCGTTTAAGGTCTAAGTTTACTGCAGAGTATTTTTATTAGTATATATAATAGAAGGTTTATAAGAATTACACTACTAAAAGAGAAGATCTAATTTACGATCTTCCGTTCAAATGTTTTCACACTAAACCGCCTTTGAATGAAAGCGAAACTATGTTGTCCATTATTATACTTTTATGTACTGCATCGATATGTAACGTAGTGTAAGTTTGGTAGTGGATTTATAAATTCCGAAAATATTTGAATTCAATTTTTCAAATAATGTATGACGCAGCAGTAGCTTGACATAGCACTAGTTTCATATAGCAGTAATACTGCATGTGTCTAGACTGCCAGAGATCTATAAGAATCTTCCTCTTTTGTGCATTATTTTCAGTTTGGTGGATCTCGAATGCTTGTATGTATATAATGTGATTTTTAAGGCAAATGAGAAAAACTTAGAAACCGCAAACGGTATATAATGCAATAAATAATATAAATTGAAAAGTAACAGAAGAGGAATCTTACAAAGTAAGAATACAACAACCCATTTTTTCTTGGCTGGGGACCTAAATTGTATCCTTGGTAAGATTGGCAACACATGTACTGTATAGGGTATATAATTAATTAAAAAATACATTTATGTCATTGTATTTTAAGTGCAGGATACCTATCTAGAGAATGTTGCAAAGATAATTTTTTTTTCGTCAGCTGTGGATAATTAATCGGGTTTTCTTTTTCTTTTATCACAAGTTACAGACACTGGTTCTATCTGCCATTACTCAGTTTAATGAGTGAACTTAAATCTATGTCTACGATTTACTTTCTTCATTGTCTCATTGTCTATACTTGTACCATTCAGATGCCCCATTTAGTAGGGTTGCAGTCTTCTTCTTTAGTGTTCTGCCGTCAGGCAGGTCCTTGGCTGCCAACTCCTCCACTGGCATCTGTCCTCCGCTCCTCTCTTCATTTCCACATAAGGCCACTCATTGTTTAAATCATCTATCATCCATATCCTCTTTCTTCTTTTCCCTTCCATTCGTCCCACTATGACTTCTTTCAACAAACATCCCATAAACCCCCGAAAAGGAATTAGACATTAACTTATATTATACTTGTTTACAGATCGAGTTTTTATGATATTTTGAATACATTTTCTGTTTAAAAACCAGTAGGTCCACTGATATGATTCAATATTTCAATATTTTCGAACCCTATTGGCTGTATTATACTGACCGTTTTCATTGGTTAATTAATAATTCTATATGCAATGTTTATTCATTCCTGATGATAATCCAATAAATGATCGAAATATTAAATCACAATGACGAGTCTTACTTTATTTGGAGTATGTTGTATGCTAAATTTTCTGTATAATAATTATAAAAAAAAATATCCTGTCATGGTATGTTTTTTTTTATATATTCAAATCTATAGGCAGTGCAATGCTAGTTTGATAATCCCTAACGTCATTCCATATTTCAAAATAATGGTTATTTGGTTGATGGTTAGCAGAGGTCACATCAGCCCAACGAGAAGTCGATCAGGAATGCGGGATTGTCTCTTACAAGCATTTTAAAATAGTATGACAGTACCGTAGATCTCATACTACCATTTTTTTGGTGACGAGGTGCTAGCGACTTTAGGACTCGTTCTTCAAAAAAGTTTTAATATACTTGAAGATAATGGATTGATCCTCGTTAATTATCAGCATAATTATTCTAAACTCTTGCGAGTAACTAGCTTATTCTTTTTATGCATTAGGGGAGCTAAAACTTCAAAAAGATTGTATTCAATATGCTAAAGTGAAGGTTAATTAGAGTGATGGTTAAGAGAGGGCACGTTCGTCAGCAAACGAGATGCCCATCAGGGAATGGGTTTTTTCCATAACAGGATTCTATCATTCCGATCATTGTTTACATAAATAATTTTAGAAGATTTAAGAAAACAGTGACAGGACCTGAACCTTAAATATGAAGGGCCCTAAATCAGCATGAAATGATAATTATTAATAAGTTTAACAATCAGTAGCGTATCTAAATTACCCGCACCCCCAGTCGCCCCCCCCCCCTAAAGCTGTCTCTTATACACATCTAGATGTGTATAAGAGACAGCTTCTAGATACGCCACTGTTAACAATGTAATCAAATGTAGGGCCTATCTAAACATTAAAACATATATAATTTGTATTTGAACTGATTTCAAATGTGAAATAATTTAAATATTATAATAAACTCGTGAACACGAATTGTTTTCACAAAAATAGTCTCATTTCCTAGCATATATAGATCCAGAGATGTGCTCCCAGATTACATTATCCCAAAATCGACAAAGAAATCGACAGAAATGTCAACTTTACGTATTTTGCCTCGGGACTATGGAACACCAAAAGGACAAACCACAAGTGGCGCAGTGCAAATGTCGAGTGGTGCAGTGCAAAACTAAAGTGGCGCAGTGCAAAACTAAAGTGGCGCAGTGCAAATCCTAATGCGTGTGCCGCTACTTGACTTTTGCAGTGCGCCACTTGACTTTTGCACTGTGCCACTTGACGTTTGCACTGCACTTGACCAGAGCCATATATATAAGAAGTTGCGACATTCCACTCTTCGGTTTGCGAAAGTGACGTGGTACACACCATACATTTTTGTGTCCAAATCTTCCCGTTGAACACATACAAAGTATATGAGTTAGGTATATTACATAGTATTTTCACATGTTTAATTGCGTTTATGATGTTATTACTTAATTAAGAACTACTTAATATTAAAAGCGTGATTTAGAATTTATCTTTAGAATTCGAATACTTGCGTATTTTTTCACTCAAATAGATTTCTTCATCTTTCCTGTTTAAAGTTTGACAAAATGTAAACAATACAGACGGTTTTAAAGATTTTTTAAAAATTTTTCATGAATACAATTTCAATATTTAAATGAATATTCTGTGTGATTAGACTTTAATTAGATATTAATTTTTTTGTGGTCTTCGTGTGCGACAACGATTTTCTGATATTTATATATTGGAAAATAAATACTGTTTAGGCATTTTAATTATCCATATTTTATTACTGTGGCGTTTACTACTACTACTACTGCTACTGCTACTGCTGCTGCTGCTGCTGCTGCTACTGCTGCTACTACTGCTACTACTGATAATAATAATAATAATAATAATGATAATAATAATAATAATTCATTCTTATATAGCGCAATTTACCTGTAGGCCTATAAGTTATTAAAACCGTACTTTAATTGTTATCGATACCTTTGTAAACAGATTATAATTACTGTCAACCGCGGTTTAATCTTACAAAAAGGATATATAGAGGTATTGCTATCTTTTATTTATTACTTTATATGCTGTTAACACTTGTAACACTGCCAGTTGAACGTAATTTCTGGGTTTTCCAGACAATAAAATTATCTTGAATCTTGAATCTTGATGAGCCGCTGTGACCACCGAAAAAGAAGATCCACATTTTTTTTTATCTCAATCGTGATGAAAATAATGTTTTTAAATCACTTCGTGCTATGTAAATTTAGTATTCATCTTTTTAGCACATTATTGCCTGAATCTGAGTCAATTTACTGATTTACTCTTCATTCCAGTTCCAAATGGGGAACCAATGTTGTACGTCCACGGCTGGTGGGTGACAGAGCGCGTCTTGGCGCTGCTACCCTCTAAACGAAAGTAAGGCTTGGCCTAGCGGTACGCGTATTTTGGGGGCCTACAAAAACCTCGAATATTTCATTCATAAACTTGTTCCATGTATTTGCGCGACGGGGGCCGAGGTCCCATATCGGGGGATATGTCCCCGATGAGAACAAAGAAATAATAATAATAATAATAATATAGACCTAGTAAAAATGAGTTCATTTCCATTTTGATGCCAAATTGGCTTTCCATACAATATCGCTAAAAAGTCAAGAGTGGCCATAGAGCTATTAAACAACTAGAGTGCTGACAAGATGGTGCAGCAATGTAGAGTTATGTATGTGTACCATCCAAGATGGCCGTCGTAGTAAAGCGCCACCTTCAGGCTTAGTATACATATTATTACATAAGCCCTCTGACTGACTATTATTTCATTAATAATAATAAGTAATGGTAATAACAAATAATTAAACTATTGTAGCCAAAACGATGTCAAGTGGAGCATCTTATTCAAAAATAAGGTACCAAGGAATGAAAATTAAAATCGTGTACATTACACCCAAACACCGAAACATACGGGTAACTAGCTGTAATGAACTTTCTGAGTAAATTGAGGGCGCAATTGCAAACGATGGCGCTTAGCGAAATTTGATTGGCTAAATCTATGGCAGCCATCTAGGATGGTACACACACAGTTCTGCGTATTTCGAACATCAAATACATTGCGGTTAGCGCTCTAGTATTCTTATTATATCTCTATGAGAGTGGCACAGTACAAAAATCAAGTGGCGCACTGCAAAAGTCAAGTGGTGCAGGGCAAAACTAGAGTGGCGCAGTGCAAAACTAAAGTGGCCACCAATTTAGTTTTGCACTGCGCCTATTGACTTTTGCACTGTGGCACTTGACTGTTGTGCACTGCGATTGTATATTATTTGTCCTATATAGGCCTACAATCGCAGTGCAAAAGTCAAGTGGCACAGTGCAAAAGTCAAGTAGCGCAGTGCAAAACTTAAGTGGTGGCACACGCATTTTGAGTTTGCACTGCGCCACCTTAGTTTTGCACTGCACCACTTCAGTTTTGCACCGCGCCACTTGACTTTTGCACTGCGCCACTTGTAATTTGTCCTTTTGGCGTTCCATACGGGACGGCCGTGTTTTTGCATGATTGCTAGCAGCTGAGCAGAACATTTGACCAATCACAGAGCGTGCCAGCCAGTTGCATCATAAGATCGATTATTGTACTAATTGTAACAATAGGGTCTGCTATGGATAGCAGAGACATTGATCCTGTTATCATTAATAATAGCCTTGCTGACACTCAACTATGTAGGTGCTTGCAGAAACAATACAAAATAAGATGTAAGTAAATTTAAGTACTATTATAGTAGACTAGCCAGGCCCTAGGCTAGGCTCCCTAATTCAAGGAGCCTCTATCTACCTAGTCTAGCCTACTACTACTAGGCCTAGCTACTAGGCCCTAGGCCTATTCTATACTACTCTACTATACTAGCCTAGAGCCTATGGCTAGCCTAGGCCTATCCTATCTGGTTGTGGGGCCTGTTCTTTAGGCTGGCTGGCTAGGCCTAACCTAGACTGCATGGGCAGCTAGACTTAGGCAGCCTAGGCCACGGCCTATTGTCAAAACAGTAAGTATTGGTGACTACACGACCACTAGGCTAGGGCTAGGCGCAGGTTCAGTGTGGTGGGGTGGTGGGAGGGTCATTCGCACCATCCCCTCCCCCTCGGACAGGCCTGAACCCCCTGTCGTCCGACGCACGTCTAGGTCATCTGATCAAAAGTTTTGAAAAAATACTAATTTGCCTACATTATGTAATGTTATTTTGATTTGATTGCTAGTCCTAATTTTGGACAATACTAATCCATAAAATCTCTTCCTAGCTGCTGTTGCTAGGTGACAAACTAATGAATACTAGACGGAGCCTGGCTATATACTAAAATAGCTCCAAAACAAAATACATTTTCTCTGAAATGACACTGCATGCATGTCTTGATAAGCTTGTTTTCTTGAAATAGTTGAGTTTTTAACAGGTTTTTTGAGTGTGTAATGGATCAGCATCTTTGATTAGAGGTGGTAGAGGTAGACAATTTCCATACATAGGCGGGAACGCCGATCATGAACAGGGTCCACTCAAGGAAGGCCTTGAGTGGCTGTTGCTAGTATAATATAGTGTGTTCCTCTGCAAGTTTCAGAAAGTACACCCCAGGACAGCTGCATTTTCCCACTCTCAACTGTGACATTTCTGGTTGTCAAAGCAGAGGATGTTACTACAAGCAAGTCTACCCCATCAGATGAACAGATTAAACTATCACCTTATATGATTGAAAGGTGAGAGGTGGTGAACAACATTGATTATTAAAAGGTAATATCATCATCATCATCATCGTCACCACAACCATCTACCACCATCATCATTTATCATCATCAAACAATACAGTCTTGTAATTTCTAAGCCATACATATTGTTGTGGAATAACAGTTCCAAATAAAATCTTGACATTTAAATTCACACTTTCTGATTTCAACACTCCTGTAGATCAGCATAAAGAAAACAACATTAAATACATTAGAAAAGTTATGTAGTATATATAATTAATGCTTGCTACCATTCTAGTTGTCAAGATAATAAGTTGACCAATGTCCCTACAAATGATCAGGTTAATGTGCCATGAATTATTAAGGGGAAACAAAAGAAATACAGATATAAAGTAATTATAACTTTAAATCATCCAGTTTATATAAGATTAAGATAAAATTAAAACTTTCATCAACAGATTGTGGAACTTACAAAGTGGTCATCAAAATTGTTTTTTGATTCTCTCCGCTGCCTTGCATGAGCAACGCGAGTTATCAATCTTTGCCGCCATACAGCAGAGGTAGGCATGCTGTGACTTTTACAGTAGGAGAAAGTATTTCTTGTGTCCCTCCCAATGACTGGGGCCAGGTGTTTAATAAGTGGCCCCAGGTGGGCACATTTTTAACGTTTAAGGACAGTTATGAGTGTATGTTCTTGGACAAACATTTTAATGACATTTGACATTGCAAAAAGGCACATCAGATATTTTGTAAGTCTACTGTAATAGTAGGCTGATTAATATGAAAAAACACTGCTATTAAGAACATGCTCATTTTTGACAAAAGAGGAGGTGGGAAGCCATGTCACTCACAGTGCTACACAGTCTCTGCTTGTAAATACTGTATAGGCATAGCTCTGGGTGTGTGAAGTATAATAGTTTTTGTAGTTTGTAACGTCACTAATGTCACTAGACACAATCCTATTGTTACTTGGCTTAGTGGAATTTACTAGGCTATATGAAACAAAGATATAATTGCAATATAACTATTCCTACTTTTCATAAAATCTTTTAACATTCCATACAACATTTGATTTGATTGGGAAGTAGAACTATTTAAAATTACTATACTTCTACAATTACCGTAATAACTAAAGGTAAGGAAGATCTCTGTAGGCAAATAAGATACTTTTATTGATTCATATTTTATTGCAAACTCTTTATTGATGACTCCCTCATTGGTTTTAAAACATACTTATTTTTATGCTTTCCAACACAACTTTCTGCATAATTTTAAAAAGAATACCAGTAATAATATTTTTCATTTATTTTTTAGTGTTTCTGGCAGCAACATGAAGATTTTACCATCCCATAATGATAGTGAGACAGCTAAAATAATGGCCATGATAGCCAAGGTTGGTTGATTGTTTACAAAATACATTACAGGTAATAGGCACTTTACGCAAAAGGACGGTGAGCTGTTTACAACGACAGTTCTGGTTAAGCGCACAAGTATTTACTGTGGTCTGCACGCTCTGATGAACACAGAACCACCGTCCACCCGTCTTCCCGTCCTGTTGCGTAAAGTGCCTATTAATGTTATTAAACATATTCATGAGTTCATGAATATTTATATGACATACTGATATTCAATCAGGGGGTTTTGTGATAAGCAAAGCAGAAACCCCAATCTATCCAGGAATAGGACAAATCCAAATACATTTTAGCTTCTTTTTTTATGAAAACTTTCTTGTAGGCTAAAGAAAAATCGACATCAGCCATTTTGAAACAGAGGTTGGATACAGTCGCTTGGAAACAGGTGAATGAGGAGATGATTTTGAACAGTCTAGCAGCCATTGGCCTCACAGATCATCATATCCTTCAACCACATTTCTTCTTTCATCCCTTTACATGTCTCCACTACTGTATACCTCCACTTCTTAGCCGCTGCTTAGTGCACTTTTTAATACTCTCAACTACTACTACTTCTGTATTACAGCATTTTTGTTTGTTGTTTTTGTTTGTTCCTGATGATGACATAATTAATGTTGAAATATTGAATCCCAACACGATGGCGTGCATTTCGATACTTGGAGTATGTATTATACTATCTTATTTGTTATTGTAGCGTTATTAAAGTATTATTGGCCCCCTTTAATAAAGGAACAATTTATATCTCATTGTTGTTATTGGTTACACTTTTATTTTATTCCCTTATCAGGTGGAATCCTAAATTTATAAAGGGTGAGACCACTAGAACACATGATAGTACACAGTGTAGTGGGTGTGGGTATTCTCTTAAGACTCAATCATTTTGAAAGCAGCTCACATCGTCCTTGGACTAGGCAATTTTTTTTGTCTCTCTCTACCTAGAAGTGTTTGTAAATGAGCATTTGGTAGGTGGTGAATTATTTTATTAACTGGTATTTCTTTATCCAAAATAGAAACAAATTCACAATATATAGCAACACTGAGATGCATATCTGTGTTTCAAGCCTAATTTCGTTTCATGATTACATTAGTGTTAGTGTTGCATTAACTTAGCATGAATACAGTATGTGCATTATATAAATCATATACTGTAAATCCTTAAATAAGAGCTGCAGCACTTTTGAAATTTTTGGAGGCTTCAGTGCAGCACTTATTGAAAAAATATTGCCGTGGCACTTTCCGTGCCCGATCCCATGTTACCTATCTCATCCTCATATATAAATGTTTATAAAGATATGCTTGTGCCTTCAATGTGTTATTTATTCATAATAACACTGTATACATTGTATCTAAAACCCTGTTTCTCAGAATGTTTCATTATACACAAGGTAACTGTATAGAATAATCTCAAACATTTGGTGCGGCGCTTATTCAAGGATTTACGGTACTGTAATTATTTCTATTAAATAAATTAAAACCTTCTTTGACAGGTAAAAAAAAGTCCTGGTCCTGTAATTATGTAGTGTATAACTGAATGATCTAGTATTACAGTACTATACAGTATTTTTCTTTAACTTGACCATGAATATACAATGTTTTGTTCTACAACAAGGATGCGGTAGTCTTGCAAACATTGTCAACGCAAGTAAAGAAGAACTCCTGGAATGCACAAGCCTAGCAACAGAAACTGCTGACAGAATAATAAAGTTCTTTAGTGAAACTAGACATGCTCAAAGTAATACTTAACATTAATCTGACAAACCTAGTTAGAGGTAGCAAAAGCTTGACATATATTATTTTAGATGCAAGAACAATGCTACAGATTTTCAATTTTTTAGATTTAATTAAATTAAGTAAAATAATAAATCTGTCTTTATAGCACATTACACAAATGTCTCAATGCGCTTTGCAGTGTTTATTTGTATGATTCTTAATTGCTGTTTGAACACTACACATAACAGGGAGTAACTTAGCCTGGGTTCCAGGCCCTAATTTATAATCTTTTTATTATATTCTAAGTATTAGAATATAAGAGTTATATACTAAGTGCATGCCAAATTAGCATGCTCATTGGTGGTGCTCTCCAATCTTCACAAGGAGGTGCCTCACCTCTAGCCAGGGAGGTTCACTCAGATGAAGTGGTTTTTTTTTAGTTTGTACACATAGATGGTTATTGAATGAGAAATCAACTATTCTCTACAGAAATGATGCATGTCATCCTAATTTGGTTCTAATGTAATTTAATAATACAGTAATATAAAACAGTAATACTATTAACAGCAATTTACATAAATATGTTAATTATATTTGTTTAGAGAAAAGTTTAAAATAAATGCTGCTGCTGTCACATTGAAGGTGTATTGTCCCATGCAAGATACCCAGAAAAAATTATTATTTTAATTAACTTGGTCATTTTGAAGTAACATTAAAATTGAAAATAGAAATTAATGTATTTTAAAAATGTATACCCATACTTTTACAGAGTAAAATGATAAAATTATTATTTATTCACAGTATAAAAATCAGGGTACACATTTTTTTAATTCAATTTCTATGCTCAAGTTAATAATTTGTATGTAACTGAGTAATTATTTTTTATGATTTGTTGTCATTTTCAGAGGACACTACATCTTTAATAGATACATTTTAGAGTACTGTACTATTGCCAATGTTAGTGTGAGTATAACTAATTTTCCCCTTTTAGAGTAGCAAATCACTTTTCTTATTGGTACTCCTTGGTGTAATTGTATGTCAGTTTTGGTATTTAGCTGATTATTTCTTTCATTCCAATCTATGATTTTTTTTTGTCTTATACTTGTACGGTATGCTCTTTGATTTTGTGTTACTGTGTCTGCAAACATTTTTTTATGGTATACTGTATGCCTAAATAAATGGAATAGAAATACAAAATTAAAAAAATATGAAAGCAGGTTTTTTTAATTTTTTTATTTCACTTTAAGTCATCAGGGTCACAATGAGACTACAGTAATTATAAAGCACCACATTGTTTATTGCCATTCTGCGATTGGCAATTTAACCATATATTTCAATATTTCTTTGAATTAATACTTTAATAATGAACCAAAATAATATACTGTAGTAACACAACACACAGTACCAACTCTTTGCTATATGCTCTATTGAGTATAAGGGATATGATCAGCATGTTGAAACTATGCATTAGTAATGTCTACCACTTCCATTACAAATGCTTAGCACTCTTTACTATTGAGGACATCATCCCATACTAAGTTGTTATTAGAAAGTGAGCCAATGAAAGAATACCTTTGTAATTGACTGAGATATAACTTCATCAAGTAGTAACAATCCTGTTATTATGAGATGCATATAAATGCATACAGTTTCCTACCACAATCAATCTATGGAGAAATACAGTCATACTATCAGAAACTTTTTAAACATTTACAAATAAATTTTATTTCCTATCTTTCTATTCTGAGTTTTTAAACACTGAGATTTTGCAATGCAGCTTCTGAATTTCAACCTGGTTTTAAACACAATTCTAGCCACTTGTTAAGTGACTTTATAACCAATCAATTGTCAAGTGGATGAAATTTTGTTGTAATCTACCAGAAGAAAAAAAACTTGGAACCATATTTTGATGGAGGTAGGTTATCAGGTATTTCAATTTCAGGTGCTGGCTCTGGTTTCGGCCGTAGATTGCGGACTGGTAGTGGACGATCAGTCTTGACAACTGTTACCTACAAACAGTTAAAAGTAGAAGTCCTGAATTTCAATCTATTCTATGTATTTGTACCAGAAATCGAACACTTAAAACAAATGTAACTTTGTTAAAAAACAACAATAGCATTAGGAATGAACTTGACTTCGGACACGCATTTGTGTGACCAAAAAAGGGTTACAGGGTTGTATTTTAGGTCACAGAGTTACATCAATTCAACCTCTTGTTAAAGTTACTTATCACCCTAAAAATACTTGTTTAGGGTTAAGAATTTATCACACTTGCGTGAAAAGGGGTGTTTAGGCCATTGTTAGAAGCACAGTTACGCACATGGTTACCCAAATACACCACCCCTTCCCCCTTGGGCAGCAATGTTTATGCCATTAAATAAAGGGTAAAAAGTGATTATAACACAAACCTTGTTTATTTCGCCTAGCTCTGGTCTTACCCATCCCAGTTCATCAAGCACACATTTGTCAAATGCAGCCTGTGTATCGCGGCAACTGAAAATGAAAAATAATATGATGGACATCACTGAAAGCATTTAGTGGTCTGAAGCTCATTTCACCACGTGGTACTTTGCATACAACCCTTGTGTATACAAACGGTAGGCCTACATGTACTTACTGGAATAATTTCTGTTGCCTGTAATCTAAACAGGTCCAATATTCTGTAAATGAATCATTACAGTGCTTTCTCAACTTCTGAAAGAAGTCAAATGCGCAAGTAGTTACATCTTGCCCTTCCTTCAAGCATTTACGAGGATCTAGTTCTTCTGCTTTGCATAATTTAAACTCCTGAAAAAAATCCATATGCACATTTATTAATATATTTAAATGTCTTAACTTTAATTTTGGTGACTGGTAACACTTGCACCATGTGGTCCTAAGTACTACTAAATGGTACAGGCCTACTTGGAAACACTTCAAAATTTAGGCTGCAGTTATTGTAGAGTTGCCCATTGGTGGAGCTGGTTTAACTTTTACTAACGTCATTCTCGCTATTATATACACTTCTCGCTATCATTACACTACGTTTTATAGGAAGAATAGGCCTAACCACTAAAATTTGTTGTTCGCTATAGATAACCTTCTGACTTGCCAAAGTGCAGGTAGCGAGACTGAAGTTTAAGGTTAGGGCCAAGCCAGTTCCACCCATCATCAAATCGTCTCAACAATATCCAGTCTTTTTTGTTTAGTTTCTACATTCAGAGTGTCTAGCCTCTCTGGGATCTGTGTGGGAAGTAATTGCATGCTATGCTAGAGAAAACACACTAAATAATAAAATGATAATATCCTAGGATGATTATTTCAACAAACTAAAATAATAAAACTAGGCCTATTTATGTCTGTTTTTGAAAAAGAACAGGACCTTTATTTCCTCACTGCCATAATGAGAACTGATATATTATTGTAACACAATGTTTGAGAGATACAATGAGAATACCTACTACATAATGTTGTAGGTACCAAAGTTGAAAGGTTACATTATAAGGTAAAAATTAAACGAAAAAACAAACTAGTACTAAAATGCGCCATAGAACCCTACCCTGCCTGGATTATAGAACCCAACCCTGCATGCATTTATAGTTGGTCTACCTTGAGTAATTTGACAGGATGTGGGAGAAAACTGTATTCATACATGTCAAGGCTCACGCATTCGGCGTGAGACTCACGAATTTGAGGTGTGTCTCACACTTAAGGATCAAAATCTCAAGCATTAATGTAATATTGCCTATAATAAAATATTTATGTATAATTAGCTCTCTCGCTAAATATTCATCATCTACTGTATAAGATTGTTTTTGTTATTTACACACTCAAACACAAATAAACGGCGCACTACAACATGGTTAAGTTGGGTTGGCTTTCTATAAACACTCTCAACCAATCAAATGGAGCTGCCTGCAATATCACGAGCTTGACAATGTTGTATGTTTTGTAGTTTTCTGGAAGAGTATATCTCTGATACAAATTTCTCAGAGCAAACCAGCACATTTGTTTGATCCCTCATTAGAAATGTTAACAAAGGTCAACTCGACCTCATGGACATTAAAGAGCACGGCTGATGCCTCTTTCATTATTACAGTTTTAAAAGGCCTCACATAATTTTACATATTTTTATGGTATCTCGTGTGTTCTTTTAGTTGAAGAATTTTGGTAAGCATCGGTAAAAGCTGATTCTTAACAGATTTCTGTTGTAAAAATTAAACCATGAAGTGGCAAAGTATGCACTTTAGTACTCCACCCTAACCTTAACAATAACATAGCAAGACTGCAGTTAAGGTTAGGGTGGGGTACTACGCATTTAGCGCCAACAAAAGTCTCACATCTGAAAATTACGGTATTCTAACTTGACGTATGTGTATTAATATTTCACAGTAATTTTGCATTTAACAGCTGCAGCTAGGATAATAAGAAGGCTTTGAATATTGTTCCAACAACCTTAAGTAAATCCCAGGTCCAGGGTGTGGAATTTTTTGAGCTGGTGTGACCCTAACCTTAAACATCAGTCCTGCCTGCTATCTTAATGCACTTGTCCTAGGTAGGCCTAGGCCTATGAAAAATAAAAAGCTTTTATGGGGAAAAGTCAACAATATGATCTACCTGAGCTAACTACCTAAGCTAACTAGGCCCTACAACTCAACAACGTCAACGATAAAACTAAAAAATATCTAGGCCAACAACAGGACCACCACAAGTTAGTTAGACTGGTGTATGTCCTTGCCACTTGCTCAGACCCATGTCTTTAGCTAGGCCAAACCAAGCACAAATCCATCCAGGGGCGCCAGCCGCTTCACTCGGCTAGGTAGTAGTAGTAGTACAGTAGTAGTAGGGCCAAACTCATTATTTTTGAGCTACGCTAGCTGAATTAGCTAGCCTCAGGCCCTAGGCCTAGGTAGGCCTAGGCCCTAGACCTACCTTATTTTGTTTGTCACATTGGCGAGCGTAATGATGAGCTCCTGCTTTCAATGCAGAAGAAGTTAGTGGTACAACAGGAACATTCAATTCGTCATCACTCGGTAAATGAACAATATTCGGCATCCTAGATGCTAAATTTAAGGTTTTTCAGGTAGATTTTCGGCGGCGGTACAACCGCTCTATTCTATTAAGAATTGCGCCCTCAATGTAGACAGGCGTACTGACGTCACTTCAAAATAAATGTGCAGCTGGCATGAATGCTTCAGAAAAAAGTGATAATGGAAGAACCGACATCTAAATGTATTGGGAAGTTTCTACTTGATGGAAATTTGCAGCATCCTGTGGTCTTAAAGGGCTGTGCTAAGGATTGGCCTTGTGCAAAATGGACGTTGCATACGCTGTCAAATAGTTTACAAGGACAGCTGATTAAAATTAGATTAGGATATAAAAACAAAGGTAGGCCTAAGCCTACCTGATGACACTTACTGACAGTAACCTGACACCTGGATAGGCTTACCCTAGCCTAGGCCTAGCTACTGTGAGTAGGCTAGGCCTACCTAGGGGGAATCCATGGCCTTCACTACTCAATTCTGACTGAGTGGATGATGGAGAGTGACCTAGCTAGCACAGAAAGTAGGGTAGGCTGCCCTGGGCATGGTGGGGAATCCACCATCATGGCCTTTACTACTCAACCCTCCCTCCTGAGTGGATGATGGAGAGTGACTTATTTTTTATTCTATCAAGCCACTATCTAATCAGGTACAGGTGTTGTCTATACAGTAGTTAGTGCAGTTTCGAAACTGCAAGCAAACCCATCACAGTTTTACTGTTCTACTGGGCCTCTGGCTAGCTAACTAAGTTGCCAAGTTGGGTGGATCCATGAATGTGGTATGCATGGTATATATATAAACAAATATAATAATTTATAATTTGATAATAAATAATTTACTAATTTATGATTTGATTTGAATTTATTTGCAAAATCACTTAACTTAAATACTACAAAATATGCAACTATATATATAATGCACCATGTAATTCAGAAACAATGATCAAAGGGCCAAGGCACAGAATTTTGTCTCCACTTGTGGATCCGCATTTGTTCAGTTTATTAACTTTTCAGCCAAAATTTACTTACTATTTGCTAAAATAATTATGTAGATCTTTCTGGTGGTTTATTGAGTACAGATGCTCTGATTGGTTTGCAGTTTGAAAAGTTGTACAGGTATCACTAGGTGGGCGATATAAAATATGATGTGTAAAAGCTCTTGATACTGCTTGATAAAATATTCGGCCTGCCCTGAGCTGCGTGCCTGCAGTCTATTGCACCTAATCCCAAGTTTTTGGTGGTTGGGGTGGGGTGGGGAAGAGGAGTTTGGTTGGGTTTATATTTTATTGCTTCTGAAACTTTCAAAGGTTTAAAAAAAGAATGCTTATAGCGAGTAAACAAATTTTAGATACACATATATAGAATAGTGATAATGTAGTTCTTTCCATGTTACCATAGTACAGTGGGAGGGGGAATGCAAGTATGAGATGGCAACCCTAAAAGATTTGATGGAATGGTGCACGGCAGGAGCAAGCGCAACGACAGAAACCCCAACAAATAGAATATCAGAAGAACGTAATCCATTGATGAAATACGATTCTGAAGTTTATTGGTGTTATGCTGATTATAAATACATGCTGGAACTTTTCTCAGAACATCCAGAACTATTGAAGGTATGAAGCAGGGATGCCCCCCCCCCAAAAAAAAAAATTTACCAAAGGTCCACATTTTCAGGGGTAGAAAATTTAAGAGCCACACTCGCACGTTCCAGAAATCCACCCATAAAACTTCCTTGACCAATCAGAGCACTTTTTAACTAGGACGGCCTCTAATTCGTCGTACAAGCAATGACTTTTAACTGTATATATTAGCTTTTTAGGGGAATTGGAGCCCCCTCCAATTCCCTACAGTCACCCTGTCGGGGAGAAAAAACACAGTTCGTCAAGGAGAAAAAAAATTATGTATTTTCTACATATTTATAGATTTAATTGGTTAAATAAACCTTTTGAACCCCTAAATTGTCATATTTTTGGGGGGATTCACCCACTGGACCACTTTCAATGAATTTTGAGTGACACACGACCACGCCCACTTTTTTCTTGCTGGGAACATCAGCCCCTCCCCCTCCCCCCCATCGGGGACCTTTGATCCCCCGTCAGAAAAATCCTGGTGCCACCCGTGGTTATACACCCTCAAACTGTGAAAGTCCTTCCCTGGAACTTTGAAATGTTGTGGGTGGTGGTTCGTGGCAGGGAGGGATTTAGAGTCTCTAATGGCAATCTTGTATATGAATGTAACTTATAAAATATTTTTTTACTTTTTTAAAATTATTGCTTGAGCCAGTTGTGCCATACTGGAATTTACCCACTGTAAATTGTGATATGAGTAGGTGTGGGTTATGTGGTTATGTTTCTATAGATTCTTAACACCAACCAATTGAATTGAACCAGGGACCAAAAGATCTGCATGCTTTAGCACACAACTACTACTACAATTTATTCTGTCTGTATCTGACCATGGAAAAACCTTCTTTCAGAAGTGGTATAGGGACAAAGACTTTAAAACTACTGTAAGACAATTTAAGGGTTTCGAAGGCTTATTTAAATTGATTTTAGAGTCTAGTGTTACTAACATGTACATATACATTTTTTCTCCCCGATGAATTGTGGTTTCTATCCCTGGGACAGAAGGTTTTTTCGTCGGCCTCTGCTTGCGGCAACCCTGATAAACACTAATTTTGAAATTTCTACAATTATTTCATCAAGTTTACAAGTTATCTAAAGTAGGCCTATAAAAATGTTAAAAATCTTTCTTTAGGAGGTTCGCTGGTCAGATCTTGGATTTGAGGGTCATGATGGAACACAAAGCACTATCTGGATTGGAAGTGAGGGTGCTAACACACCCTGTCATTATGATACATATGGCTGCAACTTGGTCCTACAAGTAGTTGGAAAGTAAGTGTCAGAATTCTTTTAAGACTTAGTTAAACAGCAGTTGCAGCACCAGGACAGACCAGTGGCACATGTCTGGACCACCGTCAGGGAAGCTATTATTTAACTTGGGAACGCATCTTTGAAAAAGAAAGCCTACAATCAAGAGTGAAATTTTGGGCTAGTTAAGGTGCCTATTCTTAACATTGCTTCAACCAAGGGAGGGGTAAGCTGGGTGTAAGCTGGCTGAATTTTAATTGAAAATAACTTTTTTCCACCATCGTAACAGGCTTTGTTTGTATTTTTGTTTTTACAGTTCATGATGTTTCTATTTTCATTTCATCCAGGAAGAACTGGCAACTGTTCCCACCACATCAAACAGAGTGTCTTTATCCAACAAGGATTCCATTTGAAGAGTCAAGTGTCTTCAGCGATGTTAACATTGTGTACCCTGATTTCGGGAAATGCCCTTTATTCAAAGCGGCAACGCCATACAATGTGACTCTTCAACCTGGAGACATACTGTTTGTACCGCATCATTGGTGGCATTACGTTGAATCTTTAGAGACAAGTATAAGTATTAACTGTTGGATGGACTTGGTGAGAATACAATTTGATGTCTTTGCCTCATATATCTACTGTATATAATTATTTTAATCACTTATTCAATAGTAAGAATAATAATACCATATTATAAGGCACATAGATTATCAATCTCGGAGAGCAGCTTGCAGCACCATTCTTCAGTGCACTTTTGTATATAATTTGTTTATTGTATAATATCCAGGTTAAAGTTTTGGTGTCAACAAAAGTGTTGGAATGGACTTGAATTGCTTGGTAGTTAAGATGTTGCCTTCAAATACTAGGGTCCTAGGATCAATTCCTGTTACAGCAGGATTTGTTTTTCTCACAACCAAAACAACTCCACTCCCTAAGTCTCACTATGAGATTTAGTTATTAAAGCATAACTGGGGCCTGTGGGAGAACAGTACCTATCTACTGAACAGGATACCAGTATAAAGAATATAAAACCTTCAATTATTTCTATTTGTTATTTATTTTGTTTATTCAAGAACAGTGAGAATGCAACATGAAAATCTAGATGACATTCAACAGTACATTATTTTGGAAATCATATTAATTTATCAAGTATGGCTTTGTGCAGAAGCACTACATACAATTAAGGGTTAACGTTTGGAAGCATGAAAGATAAGAGACACTCGCAAATATTGCATTTTTTTCTTTTTATCAGGCTATCGATGATGAATGTCGTTTAGAAGAAGCAATTACACGGACTGTCTTCTGTCAGTTCTTTGACAGTAGAGACAGCAATGATAAAGGGGATGGCACTGATGGTATAGGCTGGCTCAACCCAACTGAAGTAAGCAGCACACACAGCACAATTATTATTTTCAATATAGTGTATTTCATTGTTTATAGCATAATTTGCTGTACTCATGTCCATGTTAATTTTATTTTGTACATTTCATTTAAGCCATATTTTAAATCAGTTGTTTCTTAGTACGATAATCCAAACACCTTGCTTCCTATAAAGCCGGGCACTCTACTGCGACGTACGCGGAATCCAATTCAACTCCCTGTAATCGTTGAACAACGCGACACTGTCAGCTTATTGTCTCGGGCAGTATGAACGGATCGTCATAATTGCATTCTCCACAGAATCGCTGAGGCCAATGAGGGCCCGGCTTAAGGTTCAAGTCACTAAGATTTTTATATTGTTATTATTGAATCACTCTGAAATATGTTTAGTGTGCTATAATAGCTAGGAAGCATATTGCTATTTGTTATTTTTTTTTCCCTTAGAGTATTACTTCAACTAATGTAAACATGGAGTACATAAATAAAGCACTAAAAGTTGTTAAACACACTTCATTCGGAAAGACATCCAGTGATTGTCGTTGTGCAGGAACACCAGATGATCTTTCCTCTAAAAATAGAACTTCTGACAATCCAGCAGAATCTCAGGCAGAGGTCACTGGCAAAAGGAAGATGGTTGATGATAATTTAAGGGTGAAAAAAAATAAACCAAATAACACCAAAGATGAACTTTGTATGGATTTTTTCAAAAGGATTGGATTGGAAATAGAGATTCTACCATGCCAAGAAAAGATGTCTAAGGATGTAAAAGAGATGAGCCTTGACATCGATAGCAGAAATCAGGATGAGGATGTCAATATGAGAACTCTTTTACAATGTTTAACACATCCGAGAATTGTTAGTGAAATTGCAAACCTTTTAAAAGATAAAGTTTAGCAACAGAGTCCTGGATGACATGTTCATGAATCCATTTAAAAACAAAATATTCTTCAAAATTATAACAAACTAAAATAAAAAAGAATAAAAAAAACTCATTGTTTGGCAGTCATCATTTATTCTTCAACAATATACTCTGTTTGGATACAAATAAGGCAGCAATATTTACTAATTTTAGAAAGTAAAGCAGGCATGTTTTTTTGTTCTAGAGGTTGCCTAAAAAAATTCAAGACGATAAATAACTGATTGATAGTAATTTATATAATGTATGTAGTCTAAAAAATGTACAGGTATTTGTTTTCTGTAATTAAGAAAAAAAAAATTCTTTTTTTAAATGCTATACATACTCTATCATTAAAATGTTTGACCAATACAGCAACTTTCGGTCATGTTTTCCTGTTTCATAATTCAGATTTGAATACCATTTTGGCACTAAAATCCTTGCTATTAAGTTGATGGCAGTTTAACAAAATATTGAAGTTTACTTGTTTCTAAAAATAGTTTTCTTTTCCTGTTTTATACGAAATCAACACTTGGATAGAATACTAGCTTATACAAAAACACCGAAGACATACTAGCCCTGCATATATATAGTTTTGTATAAATACTATAAAAAATAATCTTGACAAATACTGGTCTTTAGTTGTTGGTATCATGGCGAGATACAAGTTGTTGGCTCTCTGCCAGACACCTTGTATTGCACATTTAACACTCGTTAGCTTACTCACAATGTCATTAAAGTCTGTGATAATGAAGACCCCATTTGGGGAAGACGAGGAATCCTGGTATAGGAAAAACTTGGGCCTCTAGAAAGTACTGATGAAAATCAACATGCACATAATCATTAGTTCACATTGTCATTAAAATTCTTTGACAATGGAGAGGCACTGAATCCTGATTTAGGACTATTTACCAGCCAGTACTAGGAGACTGGGGAGAAAATAATACTTTGTAATTCCTACAGAGTGCGAGACTTACAAATTCCTAATGTTTGGAGTTTTTGAGGTCTTTGGCCTCTGGACAACCTTTGAGGCTTTTCCTAACCCTGCCCAATTATGATAATATCGGGGACATACCCCCTACCCACAAATTTTGTTATCAAGGTAACATCAGCATATAAAATTTTGTGGAGCCATCATAAATATTAGAGATCATATTAAGAAAATTATATATTAACAGCACCTATTAATTTATATGATTATAAAATATATGATTATAAAATTGCATCTTTGTAAACATTATTCAAGCAGATCACATACCTTCATTGTAACAGTATTATCATACTAAAATGCAATACAGTATTTATTCGAATAAACGGCCCGGGGAGTTACTCAAATAAACACCTATAACTTCACTGTAAATGTGGAAATACAACACACAATTAGCCATCAAAATGTGTTATTGCATGATCATAAAGCCACATTGATCCCAACCAGGTTAGAAAAACATTCTTAGAATGTGCCGAGTATGATGTTGCACTCATTAGAATTGTTTAAATTCAATTCCAATGGCGGAATTTATTTAGGAAAGGTGGGGGGTGTTTTTTGAATAAATACAGTACTGTATTATAAGAAAATTTTTTATGTGATATATTTTATGTGCAGTGTACAAACTATCGGAATATAAATTTAATCAATTATACAGTATTTAGTTATGATTAAAAAAAGACAACCGCTTCAAAATTTAACATTCAGTATTTTAAAATTCTAATTGAAATCAAAGTATGCGGCAATCCTGTTAAAAGCAATGGAATTTCAACCAATTTAATGTTTCTTTTGAATAAAAATAGATCACAAAATTACACAGTATTACAGTGGAGGAATGTTTTCTTGTTGATCATTAACTTTATCTTCGTTGATGACGTACGAAATGCGCTGGCCAACCCATTGCTGGTAGGTCACGCTTGGTGTCTTGCCGAAGAGTAGCATTAACTTGTGCTGTATAAAAAAAAATGACATTGTTAAAAACTGTTGCAATTTGAAATGAGTAAGATGAATGTTTGACATACAACAAATATGAAAATGGTTACGGCCATATACATAAAAGCTGTATATAAATGCACAATCATCATAACTTACCTGCGCTAGAAAAGCAGCCCTGGATCCTATTGCCTGTTGAAAAACAATACAAAATAATAATTTTATATACAAAATGTTAAAAGACAACTGAAAATAACCCTTTAAATCAATCAAGTTAAAACTAGTGGTTGTACTTTTCAACCTGACCATGCTGGTCTGTTTTAGTTTTTATAACTTGTGAAGTTTATATACTTGTTTGATGCATACCCACACACATATACATGGATGCACATACACTAACAGAAATAAAATCATGCTTCAATGAACAATGCAAAGACTTTGTAAGGGGGTTTTTCTATGAGAACCAGCGGTTGAATAGGTGCGTAAGTGCTCTAATGCTGTCCAGTGGAAGAGCTCTTTGTGAGGTCAGAAGTTGAAGTTAACTGAAAGAGTAGTTTCCTTTATCAGAATGAGTTTACTCAAAGGGGACGCAGTTTCAGACGAACCATAAAAACCACAGCCAATGCCATCATCATCGCCATTCTTAGTAGTAATCTACTATTGCTACAGAAACCAAACTCACCAAATAGCCGACAAAGCTCACATAGACTATGCTGATAATCGTCACAATGAAGTACACCCACCATGGTTGATTTGACAACACCTGTAAAAAAACAAATAAATTAAAGTATCTGTAACTCTAATATTCAGGACTTGTATATTTTCATAAACATAAAAGCATTTGGTTTCCGGTGAAGAAATAATGGCGGTGATATACTTTGCAGTCAACATGATGTCCTTCCTATCCAAAGGTTCTTAATTGAATGCCTGTTGTAATCAAGACTTAGCATACATAGAGTATCATATTACATTTAATTTACTTACCGAGAAAGACAGGTAGAAGTTGATCACCATAATAACAACAGCCAAAAACCAAACTAAGATTTGAACAAAGCTGAAACAGGGAACAATTTATAAAACAATCAGGAAACAAACATGTAATCAAATAATATACTGTACAAGTAGATTAGATTAGAATTGGATTTTTTTGGGAAACAAGGATAACCCAGAGTGTCAGAACACTTATTTCCAGTGAGGTCTTTGCGGTAATGATTGGGGGTGTACAATCCTCTACTCTTTTAATAGAGTGTACTTGTACTGTACTGCATTTTTGTACATGGGTCATATTGCACAGAAGACCAATGACTCTTAATCCAGGCTGCATCATATTTGCATTTCAGCCTTCAGCTGAAACCAAGAACAGCAGCTGATGGAATTGAACCATGTTAACCATGGCTCATTTATAAAGCAGTGCTTAATAAAACTTTTTTTTTTTATTAATAAAAGGCAAATTGTACAATATACACACTTTTCGATAGAAAAAAATGTAAAAATGCAAAATTCCTCAAGGTAAGCTAGTCAAGCCTAGGAGGCATGGCAAGGCACAGAAAAATACAAAATAAAGAAATAAAAAGAGAACCAAAAAAACACAGAATGTTGAAATTTCCTCTTTATCTCAAAATAGTAACAATATTCATGTGTTTAAAATAATAGCATAATGTAAACAATGATGAACAATACAAAATAATTTTAAAATTCAATTTTATAAAGAAAGAAAAAATATAATACAGTAGCATATTAATAATGGATAAAATTTACAAGACAAAAAATGAATTTATTGCACACTGAGACTAATTAAATTATAAATATACATAAAAAAAGATGAACAAAATTACATTTAAAATTCATATATAATTCATTTATAATAAAAATTATTGCAGTACAGGGACATACAAGATTACAAAGATGAGGTCGAAAATGAATTTATAAGAAATTTTCAAAACACGATATCAGATTGAATTCAGAAATTTTTAAAAGATACATAGGGAACTAATAGTACACAACAGTAATAGCCAGTAAGGACTCTATTTTCACCAGTCATTAAAAGACTCCATGAAATGCGATAAATTTGTTTATACTTTGGGTTTTAACTTTAGGGAGGGTACAGTCTGTAATAGAGTTGAATATTGTGGGAAGGAGCTATAACTACAGTAATACAGTAGTAATAATAAATATTAATACTAACAATAACAATAATAATCATAATAATAATAATTATAACAGCAATAAAATTAAAAGTAATTGCAGTAATGTATAGTAATAACAATAATGATAATAACAAAAATAATAATAATAAATGCTATTTATACAGCAAATCAGTAAAGTAGCAAAAGAATAAAAATCAGAAAATGCACTAACATGCTATTTTTAAAACTTCCCATGATCCTCTCACTACTGGTGAAATGCAGGATGGGAAGCAATGCAAATGGCAGCTGGATGCTCTGTAGAACATTAAGGGCGCTGTCCAGGATGTCCAGCTCACTCTGTGCACTCACCGCCACGATAATAGTCGGTACCATAGCGATGGAGCGAGTCAGCAGAACTCGCTTCCACTTCGGCCATCTGATCTTCAGAAAGCCCTGTAGGTTGTTAAAAAAAACACATTCTTATTTTGCTTTACATGCTGCATATCTGGCCATTAACAGAACTGGTCCATGGCACCCGGCTTTTGGAAAAAACCCCGAGTTATACATCCTGCTGGTTTGTTGAATACCAAAGGGTTCTTAAATTATTTATTGCCACTGAAGCCCATGAGATGAAGTGGGTGATTGTAATGGGTTTCTTGTTTACATTCCAATGGCTATATGTTGCTGGCCAGGACTCTCTTGTTAACTCCCAATGGACATTCTTAAAACCAATTAAAGTTAAGTTTATGGAGCTGCTAACAGCTCCCTCTGGACCATTTGACAGCTCACTCTCAACTACCAGACAGCTCATTATATGGACCATTTCTGCTAACGGGGACTTTTGCCTCATGTAAACTGCCTTCTGACAGTAAAATAAACAGCAAAAACACACAAAGTATGCTTTTGAAATAAAATCTGTACATTCAGTTGGAAATCGGTGCTTACATTGTTGATAAAACCAGTCATACTGACAATTTTCATTCTTAGACATACGGTCAATGTCAATAAATAAACCTATGTTGTTTTTAGCCTACACACCACCCAATCAGAGCCACCAAATATGTAAACAAAAATTCCTCTCTATTTAAAAAAAAAAACTTTTTGTCAACTTCTGCTTTAGATAGTACTTTTTCTGACAAAACACATTAATATTTTCCACTCAATGAGAATTCACAGGGGGTTGAACAATTTTCCTCAAGCATTATCGAACAGTGGAACCAATAAAAATACATGTTGTTTATCATATGTCATTCTGCTATGTCACTCTTGAATTTTTTTCAAAGTGTTAGAAACAATTTATTGTCAGTGACAAACTTACCTGCATGACGAATTGGCCTGCATATGTTCCCTAAAATTAAAGAATAATACTGTAATAATAACCTATATAGATTTGGAAATTATATCAAAAATAGAGCAAATGCTACATTAATATTACATGATTGTGGGGGCGCCCTTTGCAATCCTTTCTTGACAGCGCAAGCGAGTCAAGTTTTTTCAACTCACATTGTCAGCCGATGAAAGTTTGCAAGGCAAAATAACAATAATAAATGCTTAGATAGTTATGAGAACTGTTGTTTTTGAGTGTCTCAATGTTTTGATTGAGTTGGTTCAATTTCCATCAGCAGAATAATAGTTATCTACCACATTAGTTTAGTTAGTTTCCTAAGCAAAGAAATAGGGACATTACTGGAACAGAAATTGCTGATTAATGAACCAAAAGGATGTAAGAAAAACACCATGCAATTGAGAAATATAAAATAATATTCAATTCGTTTTTAACATTTGTGTAATTTATATTTGAAAAAGGCAGATACTGTATTTAAATCTTAATAATTGTGTGTTTGAAGAATTGCTTGGTGGAATGGAGGAGTTCATTAAAGTTGAATGAACATATACACACTAAAAAAAACTGCAAAGATGTAGCAAATAGTTACCGTCATTGTTGAACTTTGACCCGAAGCCAGTAAGCCAATACCCCAAACAACGGCTAAACCCCGACCATATTCATCACTAATCCATTTTCCCTAAAATGAAAGCAAGTATTCAATATTAGATTAATTTACATTATCAATAATTGAAATTACATTAATCTTGTTCAACTGATTTCTATTAAATACTTCCATGTTGTTTATTGCTTTTAAATTTATTTAAAAAATGCTAATTTATTCCCTTCCTCCCAGGTTTAATATTTATGTATGTACTTACAGCATTAGCTAAACTTGGATCTGCCTTTTGGTAGAAAGCATGAGCAAAGACTGTAACCACGAACAAGTTGATAAGGAAAGACACAAACAAAGCTATGCCTGACTCAATGGCATAATACATGTTCCCTTCTTTTACTGCTTCCTTACTTCTTCTATTGATTTTCCGAGACTAAAAAGAAAAATTGAATTAACCATCCACTAAGAAGCAAGATGAACGAAAGCGACAGAGAAAGGGGTAGTAGGAAAAGGTAAAGACTGGGGAAGAGACAGTGTGACGCCAGTGGGAGAAGGGGGAGTGTGTCCCCTGTCAGACAGGCCTGGACCCCATTGTCATCTGACGCATGACGAGGTCGTTGGATCTAAAATTTATGAAACTACTTTGCCTATCCAAATAACGTTATTTTGACAATCCCCAATATTGTGGTCTAAAAGCACAATTTGGACCATACTAATCCATAAAAGCCCCTCAGAACCCTACGAGGGATTTTCATTCTGGGACCCCGACCGAGGTTCTAATCTGCCCCTTGATTGGGACCCCTTGTCAGCAAATTTCTGGAGCTACCGCTGGCAACAGAGTGAAGAAATAAAATGGGGGATATTAGAAAAGGGGTAGAAAGATGAGGGGAAGCATTAAATGAAGTAAATAAAATAATCTCACCAATACTAGAGCTGAGTGAAGGTAGATATTGTGGGGCATAATGACAGCTCCCACAATGCCTACAGCTTGTTGAATGGCTTTTGCATCACAATCAGAACACCATGGGAAAAACAAGCCTTTCATAATTTCGCCTTGGTCCGGCGCCACTTTTATGTACTATAAATAGTAATAGATAATTGAATAATAACTTGCAATATGCGAGAATTAAGAGTGAATGAAAATATGTTTAAGATAAAATACTTTAAAACTATTAGTTTTGTCTATTTTAATTACCATACATTTATTACAAGTAAGAAAGCCAGATTAATGGGGAAGAATTTAATTAATTAAATTAATTAATAAATTATTGGCTAAATTGATCATTTCTTAGGATGTTCATGAACACATGAATACAATATAAAATCCAAATGGCTTCCCTAATATTTTGTTTGCATTCTTTTACATTAATTAAATTTTGGGATATTCTCAAGACAAAAATTTAGAGTACCACATCATTATTTCATGGTACCACAAGACACCACTTTGTTACTAAGCAATGACCCAACAATTTGATACAGCTGAGTGCTTCAAAAGCTACCTATAGTACAGTATACCACAGCAATTTCAACTAATACATCACTAACCTAATAATTTCTAATTAAAAATCTAATAAAAACACAAAAACTTTAATATATTAGTCATTTTTATGTATACTAAATGATATAAAGTTTGAAAAATTCAAAAATAAAGATACAATGTTGTAAAGTGAAGTTAGAAAGTTACATCTGTAACTATCGCTTAGCTGTAGGAGGCACTAAGCTGTATCCAATGCTTGGGTAGCATTGCTCAGTATTACAGAGTTCATGTTGCATTGTGACGTCAGTGATGCAGAACTATTTACAGATGTAGTTAATGAGGCCTTCCATACTTACCAAATAAAAGAAGCATACTCCCATTGTAGTAATCAAGGAACCGAAGAAGCTTTCAAGAACTCTAAGCCCTTCCAAAAAAAATATAAAGAAATATCTCAAATAACAATTGGTTTATTCTAAAGCTATGGGTTGCGATCAAAATTGGGTCGCCAAGTAATTTAAAGTGTTGAAGAACTCTTTGGAGTTTTTGTTTTTATTGATATATCCTCCTGAAATTTGTTGTAGTTAAGAGAGCATGTCCTATGTTCAATTTACACATTTTACTTTAATTTCGATTAATGGTTAATGACACATATTGAATATCTGTTTATTAACATCCCAGGAAGTGTTAAAGATACCAACCAACCAAACCCTGAGCAAGGAGCAGCTGGAACGAGCGCCGATGTTAAGGCTCCAGCATTACAGCTTGGCCCAGATGTTTGATTGGGTTGTCAGCCAAAAAGTTTGAGAACTGCAGTTTTTTTTAAAGTAATTTTATAAACTATGTTATTAAGTCAACAATAATAAAAGGTCATTTGTTTTTTTCAGGAGAATATGCTAATGAGAGGTGGTAACAATTTATATACTTAGATACCGTTATACCAACAATCAATGTTTTATAACATACTCTTTGGTTGAAAGGAAGGGAGTCAAAAATAGTTTGTTTTGTAACCTTTGAAAATACTGTAATGAAAAAATAGAGGAACTCTAATAAGTATTGATTATATGATTATAATAATGACGATATACAATTACAATATTATAAAGGTTAATTTTATTACCTCCAATATTTTCTAAAAACAAAAATGTGAAGGTGTCGATTCCAGTGATGATGCAGCCAGCATAGATTGGTATTCTAAAAAATAGTTAAATGATGATTAATGATAATTAATAGAAATACTTAACACCAATAATAATAATAATTTATTTTCCAAAATTATTTTATAGAATTTACATAGCGTACACATCAAGAAAACTGCTCAAGGCGCTTTTTTTCCCTGGCCACTGGATACAGAATCAATCATACTGTACTCAACATGCATCCTCCTCCACTACCTGGAAAGTATTCCTACTGTAATTATGCATGTAATCAGCACTACTAATTCTGAATCATTCACCTCCTGCCCGTTACCCATTTATACTTCTGGGCAAGGCAATTCAACAGAAGGACACACATCTCGGGACATCAAAGGTTATAACTCTGGCATCGACATTCTAGGCGTACGTGCGTCCCTACACGCTGAACGTCACCAAACCATAACAACCAGGCCATAAACCGTCAGCGTACGTGACAAATTACTCACGCGCGTGTTAGTTGCCATGATAATCGCGCGTCATGCGGTGATTACAAAGGCCTAATGATATTTTGCACTAACATTAGACTGAAATTATATTCTTCATTTCAACATTAATTTTACAAAAATTGTGGTGAATCGTCGTTCATGAGACTCACTTCGCAGAAAAAATTAATAAATGTTCTGTATATACTCAAATGTTCGTTTTCGGCACCTTATGCCAACATTGTCAAAATGACAGATTAACGTTACATAAGAGCATGAAATTTTATAAAATTCGTAAATTTTAAATTACTATAACTTTTCATTTACTTGGTCAATTTTCACAAATCAAATTGTAGTTTATAGAAGCATTTAACAAGCTCGCGGTAAAAAAAAAATCAGATGTAACAGACATTGCGAAGTACCCAAAATTAATCAAATAAAAACTAACACCATAAAACAAATGGCACGCATAGACTAATAATTGACGGCTGTACTCGCAACTAGTATCGGATTGTCAATGCCACAGTAAAGATCAAAGGACTGTACGCACGTGCTATGTTTGAGAGCAGTGATGTGTGTCCTTCTGTTGAATTACCTTGTTCTGTGTAAAGAGAGGCACATATAAAGTGTCTTGCCTAAAGGACCCAAGCAGTGTGACGAACATCGGTTTGAACTTCCAACTTTCTGATTAACAGTCCAAAGCCTCACACACTGTGCCATACGCTTCTACGAGCTTACCTTAGGCTACAAGACCCCAATCGGTTATAGGCCCATCAACTATAAATCAGTATTTACCCATAAAAACACAAAACAAAATGTTAAATGCAATAATACCCACTTTCCATTACTAAGTAGATTTATTGCTATAGCAGAGCCAATGACTTCCTGGATGTCAGAGCCTATGATTGCAATCTCCATCATGATCCACAGGGCAATACGAGGTGCTTTTGGATATTCCTTATGACATACCTGAGCAAGGTCTTGACCTTCAAACAAAGAGCATATTCCAGTGATTAAAATCAAATCTGACTGAAAGAGCACATTTTATTTGTTAAAAACAAATTTGACAGAAAGAGCACATTTTATTGGTTAAACCAAATTTGGCAGAAGAACCACTTTTATTGGCTAAACCATATTTTCGCAGAAAAAAAAGCACATTTTATCGGTTAGAAACAATGTTGACAGAAAGATAAAATTTTACTGGAATGAGGTCATTTTATTGTCTGAAACCAAATTTTACAGAAAGAGTACATTTTATCAATAAAACAAAATTGGACAGAAAGTGTATATTTTATTGGCTAAAATGAAATTTAATAGAAAGAGAATTGTTTATAAATAAACTTGACAGAAAGAGCACATTTTATTGGTTAAAACCAAATTTGACAAAAAAGAGCACATTTTATTTGTAAAAGAATATTATGAAGATACGGATTTATACTTCATGAACTCTTCAAATTTTAATTTACCTGTGACACACCCAAGTCTTGCAGCCAAGAGCTGAAGTACCAGTCCCATTACAGTTGACCACATTAAAACCCACAGTAACTGAAACACAACATAAAGTTATACAGGTTACAAAACAAATAGGTAATTTTTATTATAATTTATTTCTTCCTTCTAGCATGGAGGTATAAAATTTTATACCTTCATGCTTCCAGCACACAGTACGACACACAACAAAAACAAAGACAAAGAAAGAGGGAGGCTGAGGAGGGGCAAAAGTTGTACAAAAACTACTACTACCCACTGGAAATGGTGTATCCCTACTTTTCTAACTTCCAAACATTACACATCAATTAAAAATAGCGGTAATAATAATAGCACCCACAATTGTTTTTTAATATTATATTATGTATCTCTCAGAGGCATGATTTTTAAAATTCCAGTTGTCCCAGGGGAACCATTTAAAAAAATGTGCTGTCCAGTGGGTTCTAAATATATGGCTACAGCTAAAAAGAAATTGCAGAGTTGAATATAAAAAGCCTTCCAAAATAAAGACTGACGACTTTATACCTTTTCTTTGGTTTTAAAATATTTCAGGTTTTTTAACAAATTCAGGTTGCCTAGGGAGAAAAAAAATCTTTTTAGCCATGTGTTGAGGCATTTAACAATCATTACAATGGACCTTCCAATAAGCCCAGACCCTTGGATATTTTGTAGCTAATGTCACACAAAACGACAGTATTAATATAAACGCAAACATGTGTGTATGTGGGACAAAACACAAGCGCTCGTTAATGTTAGCACGATAGTCAGGGGCGGATCCAGGATTTAAAAGAGGAGGATTCGAAACGTTTCCAAAAACCCCAAAATGAAATTTTGCTAGAAGGCCGGAATTGAGCTTTCCCAACTTCTGAGGAGTCTTTTAATGACCTTTAAGTTCTTCAAAATTCAAGGTTTTTCCCCTCTTGAAAAAAGGTCAGGTAATTTTATCTCATTCTTTAGGCCTATCATAGAGGAAAAATCAAAGACAGGCAATATATTATTATATTCCAACAACATTGAGTAGTTAGATATGTAGTCTTTCTTCCATATATCAATGAACCGATAGGCCTGAAGGACTCACTTTCGTACATAAATTATTACGACGGTGAACCAAAAACAGTGTGTATAAGTTATTTAATTGAAAAAAAGCTAAGCGTAGTTTGTCTGATTTTCCAACCTATGCCTAGGTAGGTTAGCATGCTTTTTGTAAGCCAGGACCAAGTTGTATTTTGTTACGTTTCTTCACAGAGGGGGGTTCGTTCGAACCCTTTGAACTCCCCCCACCCACCGGATCTGCCACTGATAGTATTCCTTGCCCTGTTCTGATTGGTCAGTTATTAAGTTTGATTGGCACTTGGGAAAGGTCCACTAATCCAGGATTGGCAAAATCTTAAATCATTTTTCCTAAAATATATTTAAAAACTGCAGCCACTCTATTGTGCCCTTTACATTTTTCCTATTACGATTCCCTTTTAAATAACAGTGTAAAATGTAAAAAGTATCATTTTTGATAGCTTACCTTGTACTGTGCAATGGCACCTGATTGGAGATCAGATTCAATGTTGCCTGGGTCCAGGTATGCGATACTCATCAGAAAGCCAGGCCCTGTGAATGCCCATAGCTTACGTAAGCTAAACGACGTCTAAAAGCAAAAATATGAAATATGTGCCAACGTTAACAAAAGGAATCAACACCCTGAACAATGCAATTCATACAAAAAAAACAAAATTTTAAAAATATAATCTGGTAGGGCCTATACTGCAGAAAGTATGGTATTGAGGAGAACAGGAGTTCCGGAAAT